AAACCGGTTTATCCTGTTGTCGACGCCGACGGTCGACCGTTACCAACTGATGAAACAGGGGTTGTTGTTGGACCTGACGGTGAACCTATTCCAACGGACAGTGCTGGTCGGCCAGTTGATGCTGATGGATCACCATTGCCTACAGATGCTTATGGTAGAGTTATTTCTGTTGGAGGCACAGATACTATGAAAACGTTACCAACTTATGAAACAGGGGTTGTTGTTGGACCTGACGGTGAACCTATGCAAACTGATCAATCAGGTCGTCCTGTCGAAGTTTATGGATCTGTCACGAGTGCTCCAAAAATACTGCCAACTGATGAAGCTGGTCGCATCATCCGCCCCATTGTTGGGCCCGATGGTAAACCACTGCCCACTGATCAGTCTGGTGCACCGATAGGCGCTTTTGGAAAACCAGTTCCGAGGGACAGGTACGGACGACCAGTCGGTCCGGACAGAAGGGTTTTGCCAACAGATGATGTCGGTAATTATGTGTATCCTGCGATCGGTCCAGATGGTCAACCTTTACCAACTGATGCTGCTGGAAGGTCAGTGTACCCTGTCGTTCATCCGGACGGTTACCTTCTGCCTACAGCCGGATCTGGAGCTGTCGTTGGCCCTGATGGTAAACCGCTGCCGACGGACGAATCGGGCAAGCCTGTATCTGCGGACGGTTCCATTTTCCCTACGGATTCGTCTGGAAGGTTCTTGTTAATCCCGGAGGATGAAGGTGTTCTTACAATTGGGCCGGATGGTGAGCCCATGTCTACTTCGCATGCTGCTGACAGAGTTGGTGTCACATCGCCATATTTTGTTATCATGCCAGATGGCAATCCTCTCCCTACTGATTTCTCGAACAATTACATTGATGAGGATGGTGAGAAACTTAATCATGATCAATACGGTCGCCCAGTTGATAGACGAGGAAGACCATTGAGTAAAGATGCAAATGGAAATTATATTTATCCTGTGATCGTTCAAAAGCGACCGGTAACTCAAAAACCCGTTTTCGATCTTATTAACAGTTATGGACATCCGTTACCCACCGATTCGAATGGGAATTTCTTGAACGAAAGAGGTCGTCCTATCCCCACAGATTCTTCTGGATATCCTGCAAACGATTCTCAACATATTTTTGAGAAAAATGCGCATGGACAATTTGTTTACAAGCCGAGAGATCTCCTCCGGGAGTTGCTTCCAGTCACTGTGGACAGGTACATATGAAAAACATGTTATCGTTTCAACTCAATTCTCTGCGATTAGTAAAAATTTGGCTTAAGCTTTTGCAGTTCCTGTCATTCTATTTAAGTCCTTTCACATGCAAATTTGTACGTGCATCAGCAATCGAAAATGTGGCTTGATGCATCGGTTTTTCTAAGTCCAATTTTGAGGTAATACAACAGCAGTTTTGCTCAATCGAAACTGTGTAAACTAGTGACTATTCTACACTATTCTCCGTTTACCCTAGATTCGCTATCACCTCTTATATGTGATAATCGCCAATACAAAATTGAGTGTTCATTTTGCTATTAGCATGATCTTTCCCAAAATGTATATTTGAGGGTTGTACTATTGCAGCCTACTATTCACAAAAACTTAGTTTCGAAGCTAATTTTAAATACCAGTTTCATTTTCAGCTTCACAACTATGAAAAAATCGCCTTACTGCACTGTCAATTCCAATGCTGACGTACTTCTGCTGTTAGATGCATCAGCTAACGTCAGAGTGGTGGATTATCGTATCATGAAAGAATTCATTGAAAACTTCCTTATCGATCATTTCAATTTACGTAAAAATCGTGCACGCATCGGCGTAATCAAATACGGCGATAAGGTGATTCTCCTCTCTTGAAGCCAGTGCTCTATACCGATGTTTATTCTTGCATCTAATCATTTTAAAAGGACTATGATTCAGTCGCACTTCCAACCCTGCAATCAAGTTTTTACCTGTTTATGATTCACTATCATTCAGTGCCATTTTCTCGATATCAACAATTGTGTCGTAATTTTAATTCCGCAATCACTTTTGATGAATCCCATGTGTTTTTTCTCAATGATGTTATGAGCCTATTATGGATGATTACTAAGAGTTTGATCTCTGATTCATGCTCCACTTAAAATTAAGGATTGGTCTCAGGCTTAGCTGCGTTCCTAGATATGAGTTCATGAGCTGACTTAGATTTTAATTTGTAAACGTGCGGCTCAAGCCTTTGCTGAGGCTGGAAATTAAACTTCAGCTACTTTTCTTTCTTGGAGATAAACTTTAGTCCGCCATCACCCGTTCGCCGAAAATTTAATCAGGATATAATTCATAAGGTGTCAGATGCCGTTCATCTGCATCATAATGCAGTCCCAAAAATTCAACTATGGAACCTCATGTTTTCGTGCTGCAGGTCGAATTACCAATTGCGCTGGGTGACTACGATAATCCAGCTCAGCTAATGACGAAAATCAGTGACACGAGACGTATGCGTGGGTCAGCGCATCTCGGAGCAGCATTACGTGATGCAGCCAGTGAATTTCTGATATCTGGAACAACAGCAACATCGAAAGTCGTTATAGTGTTCTCGAACGGCAAATCAAGGTTAGCTCACGGTCCTAATATTCAAAACTTGGTCCGTTTTACTCTGCTGCGATCAAAACTGATGCTGAAAGTGCAAAATCATTAGCATTTCAATTCGCGCAAACACCTTACAGAACATTATTACCGGGATATATAACCAGTAAATGTAGGAAACTTGAATCCCTCAGCAAGTGAGCAATATTCGCAACGTAGTCTTCATAATAACGTAATGAAATTTGACTGTTGTACTTGTCTATGCAAAACAAGAGTTGAAGTTTTGATTGTTTTGCATATTTCCTCTATTAATATTCAACGACATTTTCAAATTGTACGTGTTCGTTTGATATCACCGGTGAATCCTTGGCAGCGAATTTCAAGATTGGATATGTTGAAATCTCTGTAACATTCTAAAAATGGAACTTAGGATAGCTGAGCAGCGCTTCAGAAAATTTGTAGAAAGCAACAGGTTGCGATTTAGACTCAACTGCTTTAATCAAACCCAGGCTTTGGCTCAAGCCTCCTGCTTGGCTGAGGCTCACGCCCATGCTTGCGCTCCTGTACAAACTAAAATTAGGCTAAATGGACCCAAACAACCTAAACCTTACCCCAATCACTGATAACGAAGACACACTGTCGAACGACTTGGCCAAAAGGACTGCGAGAGAAAAAGCTTGAAGAAATCTAATCGACACCACTGAAATTTACATAGCAATTGAGGAGTCAACTCTGGGACTGATCCCAGTAGTGTTAAGAGTGAGAGTCATCTAGTAGTTGAGTCTCACTTCAGGTTCACGTTGAGGTTACGATTGAACATATATTACCCATTGCACTATTAGTTAAGAGATATTTAGAAGAGTGTGGCTTTTCCAACAACTCGTCGACCCCTATTTAGTGTTGTTCAACTGATCAACTCTGGGCTTTTCATATGTGCCTCAAGTAAAAGTGAGTAAAAAAGTCCGGTTAAGTTTCCACGAATTACGCAGGGACAGATGTAAGTAACTCGAGGTCGACCATTTGCACGGGAACCTTCATCTCCCTACTAAAAATGGCAGTCGACTCCAGATGAATCCAACTCTAAAAAGCATAGTTAGCTGAAATTGAATATTCGTCTCTAGAACAACATATCACATGAAAATCGATATTGTGAGCAGAAGTTGACTGTTTTTGTAATGTTCCAAATGAGATGTGTGAATTACGAAATGATTTAGTGGGTGGATTTCGAATGTGATGCTGTTGACCTGCAAAATTCCAGCGCTCGATGACTAGTGATCTAAAAATTTCAGTTGGCAAACCAAATGCGAGAATGCAATTAAAAAGCGTCAAGAAAAGGGGCATATGAAGTACTGGGCCCTAGCCACCGGATCAAGATTTGCCAGGCTAAGACAAGAATAGCCGGGTCTAGCCAAAGTAGGAATACGAGTGCATGATGAAAACAGCAAGCCAGTGCAACAGACTCTTATGAACGGAATTTGTGTGCATCCCGATGGAATTTCGCATTGGAAAGATGGTTTGTAGGAGGGCTTAAAGGAGTATAATTGATTTCAAACACCATCAACACGTGTGTGGGGTTTTTTCGATCCTTGTGCTGGGATGTTGATCGGAATCGCTACAAAGGGGTACATGGACATTGTTATACTCAACAGCATGTTTTCAAATTCGAGTTTTTTTGGAGCAAAATTTCATCATGGTGCACATAATTTGCCTTCATAGTCCAGCGTTTGTACAACGCACTTACTTATATTTTTACTTTGGTCCGGTTTGGTGGCCAGGGCCGGGCTATTTTACTCCCCTAAAAGTATTCCACATCATCACATTTAGTGTAGTATGCTGTCAAAATACCATTGTGTCTCTGGAAGGGACATGGACTCAAGGCACGACTGCAGCATTACACTCCCGAAAAAGTCGATGAACTTCCATCAACCTTAATCCTAAAAGAGAAAGATCGCCCGCCTGATTCAGGTTTCTGGCTAGAAAAAAACGAGTTGACTTCACAAAACATTAAGGGTTGACTACTTCTTGGAGTCGATTTTGAGATTTCGTCCACTTCTACTCGTTGTTATCAAATAACTAGTACCTGAATGTCGACCTTATTGTCATAAGGAACATCATTCGCTTCTCGTTTTTAAACCACCGTCATTCATTCAACAACGTTTGCTAACTTGTTCAGTGATGATATTTCAGTGACGATCCGGCTGGTAATGCGAGAGTGTTGCGTGAAGATGTGGGCGCATTGGTGTTTCTGGTGGATGCCGGCGGTCAAGGCGATCCACAACAGAATATCGCTGTTGTAGGTGAATCTAATCCACAACGTATTATATCCCTGGAAGAATGGCGAGGATCAGATTCTGAGTTAGTGGCTCCATTCGCCGATCAACTCTGTGAGGTATAGTTTGGATGGCTTCAATTTGATTATTTTATTCCATATTACTGTCACCACCGTTGAACGATGTTTAGGATTATACTTTATTGACGCTGTTAAATTTGCAGCAATGATAGACTGCGTAATACTGTCTTTAAGTGATTTTACTACTAACAAAAACACCTATTTCAATTTTTTCCCCTTATTTGCTCCGGAGCCCTATCTTCTTTTTGGTTTCGTTCGAACCTGCTGACCAAATTTCTCAATTAGTAATCCGGAACAGTTAAATGTGACTGGGATACATCACTTCAAACGAGTCTTTCATTTATTCCAGCTGCTATCCCAACTCGATGAATCTGACAATATACAAACCTGGCCATCAAGAAAGACAACTCTCGAATCTGGACGTACAACGCCGGCTCGAATTTGCTCTAGAATCGACTTCCAGGTGCATGATTTCGATTGATATAAAATAATTTTACATGGCCTCACAACAACATTAATTCATCGAGTACACCTAAAGGCACTGAACGAACAGTATGATAACATTACGCGGTTAATGCAGTCCATTTTGCAGGCAGATGTAATGTTCGTCATGGATTCGTCAGAAAATTTCACGCCTGAGCAATACACACAATTGAAGGAAGGTTTAAGCACTCTGATTGATGAATCGTTTGACCTCTCTCCAGATGTTGTTCAAGTTGGATTTGTTGAATACAGGTTGGATTGTTTTACCGCTAAAGTCCGCTTTTATTTTTCTCATCACACCTTTTTCGAAACATTTCAAGAATTTTTCAACATTCACTTTCACTGCGTTGGTATGAATCTTCTCGTAGCTAATTCTAGACTTCAGAATCATCGGTTCTCAGCGATTGAAAAAGTTTACCGATCTTTGTAGATTCAAACCAGATTTTGCGATTCAGGATGAGCTTAACTGGTTTCCTACTGAAATTTGATCTCAATCGCATTGCACGATTTCAAATTTTTTTGCAAATTTCATTTTTTTATTAACAGCATTAATCTGTGAAAGGAGGTATGAAGTCATCTTTATCAGACGTTCTTTAATGCAAAAATCAATGTTTCAATTGCGTTCCTTTTTGCACAACCTAATTGGTCTTGATTAAGTTTTTTCGGCTACTAAAACTGATTGATTTCAATCGAGTCAATTCCAGTGACAAAGCATCAGTACCAGTGGCACTGGGTCACTACGAAGATAAAGTGCAATTACTGACCGATATTGCAAATAGCGAACAACTGCTTGGCGAGGCAATTATGCTGAAGGGTTTGAATGCTGCGCGTCAACAATTTCTCCAACACGGCCGCGAGAATGTACCACGCATCCTGCTGCTAATCACTAACGGTGTTAATCGGTATGTATCAATCGATTACTAATATCTGTTGAATCGTGAGCGTTACCAATATCACGTAATACCTTCCATTATAAGTTTATTGAAATAACAATCCATGAATAGCAATTGATGTGTGAGGAACCATCGATTTCCAAGGAGATGGCACATCAGAATCTTACAAATTTTGTCGAAATATTCTTCCTTGTTTTTGAGCAATGAAATCTTATAATTGAACGGATAAGAATGTCGATTGAGAAGTGAGTAGTAACCACAATAAAACTTTTACATTTCTTTATGTAACACAACAATATAAATATATTTCAGTGCATCCATGGAGGCCAATAATGAATTTAATAAAAAATTTACAGAGGAAATGCAGCGAGTGCAGCAGATGATCTACGTGATCGTTACAACGTTGAGCTGTTCATATTAGCAGTGAATGCGAGCGGTGATGGAATAAAGATGTTGAATCGTTTAGCCGGTGAATCAGCTAACCAAAAGGTGATATCGTTGGGAAGTGCTGATAAATTGCACGGTCCTGAGTTGGCCTACATCGGCAGAACATTATGTGGTTTTGTTGAACCAGCAGCTGCAACTATAAAGCCGGTATTCACTGAACTACCTGACTCACACAAAACAACGAAACGTGATGTTTCGAAGGCCATCGAAATCGGGAAAACGTTCGTTACTCTTTCGTCAGTTTTTTTTTNNTTTTTTTTTGATATTGTTCTCCTCCACAACTGATTCTTTGGTTGCTTCCAGAAAATTATAATCGCACTGTGCGTCAGTGAATTTTTCGCGTTAAACTGTTAACAATGAAAATTTTTCTTACTTCAATTATCTATAGGCTTCGAAAGAATGTAGTAATAAGCGGGAAATTTCCTTCCATTAATAACATTTTTAAAAGTTGATTGTAACCTAAGCATATCGCCCAGTGCATCGTATACTTTTGGTTCAGATATCATTTGTTTTATTAAATGCGTCGATCATTTAAAAATTATTCGAAATTATCTTGAATTTGGGTGAACGAAATGAAATTTGATTTCAATATGATGAATATTCATCTCACGTATGTGCAACAATTTGATACGAACGCGCATTTTCTTATGCTTATATTAAAAAATAATATGGTTAAAAGAGCGTGCTCATAATATAATATTAATTTGGAGGACGACCATACTGACTCTTGTTTCAAAGAAATTCAGCTAACAAAATACTCTGTAATTTCATGAGATTATCGGAATGACCTTTAAAATTGTATGTGTAAAATTTTCTACAATATTTTGCTCGGTTCGGTAGATACGGCACGCTCCAGTCTTCCAGAAGTTATGTTACTGACTGCAATTAGATACAGTCCAGGTGTAGGCTACTATTACGATAGCAAGTGCAAGTTCTACGCATTTCGCAAAATGTAAATTGTGCAAAAAAATTTATTTAGATTATCATATAATCCCGGCAATGAGAGCATTCTTGTGATACATTGTAGAATGATGTGGAAAGATGTATTTTTCCAACTTGTTGGGAAACGTAAGAAATTTGTGGATTGGGCGCCTGAATGGGATGCAATTTTTGAAGAACTAGTTGAACTGTATACTTCTAGTGAAGCGATTTATTATATGTTTGAGGGTGTCTCTGTGGAATTTGGTGACAGGAAACCGCATTCAACAAAATGTCACACATGCGTGGATTATATTCCATAAAACAGGTACGCGGATGAGGGTTAATAATTCCGTTTCAGCGATGAAGAGCAAACATCAGTTTCACCCGTGCAAACTCCCTATCGAACGACTCAAGTCTTTGGACAAACGCCTCTTTGCAAAGATGGATTCCTTCGCCCTTATCAAATGACCGTTGTTGTCGACTCTACTGCTCGTTCTACACAAAAGGTTTCGTTGATTGTTGTTGACTGAAAAAAAGGGAAATAAATTACTTTCATGTAGTTGAATATGATGTGAAATCATTAAATCAGAAGGTATGATGAATGATAAACACAGTCAACAGATAACATATCAAAATCCAGATTTGATAACGTCGCTCATATGGTGGATCCATGTAAGTGTGGTGAACTTATTTTTAGGATTTGAATCTTGTGCTAGCACACATTATGAACTTCGTTGAAACGCGCTTCTCACCAGAAAGTGGTCGAATGCAGCTGAATTTGGTCACCGTTGATAGTAGTGGTGTAACGTTGAGAGAACCAAACTTTGGTGTTGATTCAATTCATGAAAAATTCAGTTTGATCAAACAAACAGAGTTCGTTGAATTCCATTCATTTAATCACGGAGCACTTCTCTCATTACTCTGACTACCTTAACTTCATTCTCACCCTCCTCATCACTGTTAAAAGCCAAAAAATTATTTCTAATTCTCCTTTTCCACTTATGAGGCACTGAGTTGCTTAAATGCAACAGTAGATTTTTTCGTTTTACGAGGCCCCTTTCTTATGCTGCATAATCGTTGAAATGAGTTTTATTGAAGAGGTGATGAGCTGTCAGCGAAACTTGGTCGTGGTATCGATGAAGCAGTGATGTTATCAACTCAGTTTGCAATTAGTGGCGTTAATGAAATCATTCTTCTGGTGAGCGCTGACGGAACATCAAGGTAATGCATTGTCTTTCGATCTTAGTTAACTTTTATTTGTGCCTTTCTTTCTGTTTTGATCGATAGTGAACCTTGTAGATCCTAGAAGGGTGAAACGTGAGGGTTGGGTAGGTGATCTCACAGATTCGGTATTCCCGATAGTGGGACTCGGTGGTCCCTGAACACGTTTGAAGTTTCGAAGGACTCCGACCATACTCCTTATCATCCTATAGGCTCCCAACCTCGTGGATCCGCGAATATTGCAAGGTTTTGGGAGCCCCTCCCCAATCTATTCCCTGACCTTGGGAGCCCCCGATCTCGGAGTCCCTGAAGCTGATTTCGCACCTGGAGTTGAGTTCTGAGATTCCGTGGACCCGGGAATAGGTTTCGGGGGCTACTGCTTTCCGCCCTCGAGGACTCCCGTGCCTAATTTTGCTCCTAATCCAACCCTCCTTCATGTGATCAGTTTTTGATTGTTTTTTTTTTGGTTTTATCTCTTCATTCATTAATAAGCGGTTGAAAATGCTTAATTGATAAGGTGATTTGAAAAGTATTCGATCTATAAATAGTATTTCCGAAAATGTTTAAGTGATGATGCAATAGCGTCCGCCGACTTTGCTCGAACTCGTTACCATCCGAGTATTATCGCGATTTCAATCCGAACACCAGCCAATGAACTTCTTAAAGAACTTGCTGGAGGAAGCCCAACTAGGTTATTTTTTGCTTGGTGGATTACTTATGTGACACATTTGTCCAGCATAATATTATACTAAAAAATAGGTATTCATCGTAAACAAGATATTGATCTGTTATTTTATATGTGTCATAAGAGTGCGATATCATCTGCGGCTCATCCAGATTAAATTCGCTCAGTAATACCATATCTTGAAACCGGAGCCGGACTGTAGTTAGGAGTAACGATGAATGTTTTCACTTTCTTTTGCGTTACTCAATGATGAGTCCAGAATATGTGGATTAATTGACATGTTCAACTATCCAATCTCAAATTTTGAGTGATTTGTTCACTGTTTTCGAGTAAGTCCACTTTCACCTGAGTGAAATGACCTTTTTCATCGTAGTTGCATCGGACGAATCTTGATAAGTTCAAGCAGGTCCAATTGTATCGAATAACTCTTGCAGAGTGATCCACTTCTCGGAATGGTCTATCGGTAATGAACTGTTCGGTAGCTGGCTCGCTCATGCGATATGTGACTATGTGACAGCTTCAACTACCAAAAAGATGGATATATCACACGTAACTCCACCTCATTCCAAACGAACAACTCGTTAGTTCTAATTATTCTCTTCCGTTTCGTTTATTATCACATCTTCTTTTGTAAATTTATTTTAAACAATTTTTCAGCGCCCGGATATCGTTATATTACTGTGTAAAATTTGTCATGGCATAGTTTTTTTTTTGCCTTATGTGACTCACGCGTCAAATGGTAGACTATCGTTCTCCTCAGGAATGAACTTACCTTATTTGAGATTCCATTATCAGAACGAAATGTTGTTAAGTAACCACTGAAACTGGGTTATTTCCAGTGAAACCACCGGTGAGTGAACCGACAAACATTGAAGTAGTGCCTCTTTCGCCCAATTCATTCTCAGTTTCATGGACATGTTGTACGAATAATAAAGCGGTTAGTTTGAGTTTTTACTCTCAATTCTAATTCCAAACGTTTTTGCATTCGATTTTGAGTGGTATCGTTTGCAGTAATCTGTGTAATATTGATGTTCTATTACACTTGCATTACTGCGGGAAAATAACGCTAAAAGTTTTTTTGCAGGAGTATGTTATCCTTCATACACCGGACTCTTCGTTACCAAAATGGCAGTGGCTTCAGATCCCAGCGAAATGTCGTGATAGTTTTGGTAAAAAGATAGACAATTTGCCAACAGACACTTCTTATACGGTTTGTGTAGAAACTCAACAAACGGCTGCAAATCGGACTGCGCCTCTCAATCTAAACAACTGCGACAGTGTACATCTCAATAAAGGTTCTTCTATACATTAAATACGTCTTTTTGAGCAGATGTTATTTTTGAGTGGAGATTGATGAAGCTAATCTTTTTTTTTNTTTTTTTTCGAATTTTATTTCGCGTCTTTAATTCACTTCACTTAATTACGACGATTATCGGTGCAGACAGAACTAATTTGCATTTAATTCAGACACGACAGCACCACCTGATTATGAACCGATTGATGAGGTGACATCACCTTGTCAGTGTCTTTGCACCGGTCGTGGGGATGCTGTAATTCAACCATCATGTGGTCAAAGTATTCAACAATTCCGTCCACTCTCAACTTTACCGCCTGCTACTGAGGGCGAATGTCCATGCAAAATGCCGTCACATAGTGGTCGTTGTCCAACCGGGTACTATCTCAACGGAGCAATGTGTTACGGTATGTTTGCTTCGAAGTGCATTCGCCCTTGTCAATGAGAATATTTTACTCGTACAATTCTTATCCAATTCGTGGGCATTTTCACCATAAGCCAAAATTTTCGTGCCGATCGAAAAGAGATGCATTGTGACATTTGCCAATGAATCACTTTCGAGAAATTCACTTGAAAATCATGCTTCTAACAGATACAAACGAATGTCAACAACAAAATGGTGGCTGTTCACATGGATGTGTCAATACTCCTGGCGATTTCTATTGTGCATGTCCACACGGAATGATGCGAGATCCAGTGAATCCAAAGCAGTGCATTAACGTTGCTGCTAGTTTCGATAGGATCGCTGAATTAATAGGACGTTATTTGGGTGTTAACGCACAACATATGCAAAGCACTCAGCCAGCTGTAGCTGTCGCTAGCGGAGAGCCAATTCATTATAAAGTTTGTTTTTGCTGTTCGATTCCTTACTTCAACTGTGTTTGGAGTGTTCAGACTAATTGTGAGACAGGATGGACCCGTGTTTCTTACTTTTTGCGAGTTCAATCCGCTGGATAAGTGGTTTTGTTTTATCCCCCATAGTTGATCAGAAAAAAAACCTAGCATTTGTATGATTATGGGTGCACGCTGTAAAACTATTTAATCTCGGACATGTCCCAAACATCGGAGCATGAATCAATTCAGTTCGTGTTCACATTTGTGTATGGTGACATCACCTTGTTTTTTTAAAATCTATTCTTACTGAGCAGAGAATGACACTGACACATCTGTTCTGACTGCATCATCACGTTTCAGGCAACAATAAAATCCGATGATGATCGAACGATCTCATTCGAATGGTCATCTATGCCTGCAGTGGTACGACGCGCTCTTAAGTGGCTATTTTAAGGAGTTGTTTCATCGTCGATTGTGATGCCATTAATTAGTGATGTTATTCTCGCTGAATGTTGTATTTATCACTTGAAACAACCATATTACATTGTTAAATTACTGTATCATGCCGTTGACTTTATTCTTAAATTTGCGTTTCTCATATCAACCCTGACGTTTATCGTGAAAGGTACAATTCAAATTGATAACATCAACTTATCGCAATCAGTTCTGATGCAAGACTTATCAGTTCGACAGAGGCAGTCATTGGTTGTTGAATACTTGTTGAATATCACTATAACTTTGTATCAGTGAATGACCTCTTGAGAGCAAGAACTTATATATATAAATAGATATTCTTGTGTATGTGTGTGTGAACGAGCTTTATTTCTTCCCTCTCAAAATCTTGTTCAACATGAAAGTACGTAGCCACAATTGCTTAGCGCTCGTTCTTTACTCTAATTATCAATTGTTTGTGACTGTCTCGTTTTCTGGCTTTCTTTGTACACTTCTGGTGAAAATTTTGTGATTCCGTCTATTCCGACTTTATTTATGGTGTTGTTGCTTCTCTCATGTCTTCTACGAAAACGAGGAGTTCAGATCGTTTACAGTTCTTTTTTTTTTTTGAGGGCATCGCAGGTGGTTAATTTACTGCCAGCATCCAAAACAAATTACGAGATGTTTACTCGATGCATACAAAAATTTAATTCACATCTAATGAGCGTTTCTTGTTTTCCTGCGAAATTATATCAACTGTAATGAACGTACTGAACTTCATCTCTTATTGCTATTATCTAATATATTAATTGCAGAAATGCTGAAATGAACACTTTTCTCATCGTCAAATATTGTCAGTTCTCCAACCAGTGATAAAAGTTCATTTCAGTTGCAACCATATCATCAGTCCTCTAACGCTTTTCCCGATGAGTAACATTTTCTGTTCTAAGAAACTTTGATTTTACCATAATGAAAATTTTTCTTATAATTGTTGTCAAGTTTCTTTAATGTCCATTTCCCTGCTCCTTATTTCAGCCTCTTCCATCCACTCCATTCACTCGTAACATTACGTTATTTGTGCCTTTAGCATAGTAATGACTTCATTTTCGATGCGTAACGCTACTTTAGAGATTTTTGTCTTGTTTTTATTTTATCTTTACTCTTTTCTCTGATCACGCCAAGCTGTTAAGCCTTCCATATCCGCACACACATCTGCCCTGTATTTTGTGAATTTTCGATGTTCGTTAAGTGGTTAATAAACAATATTTCAATTGAACTTCGATACAAACATAGACGACAAGTTTAAGTTGTCATTTGAATATATTAGCCGGAACTCGCAAAAAGTAACTGTTTATACTGTATATTGTACCGTTTGTACTGTTGCAAACTCGGTGACGAAGTTGGTAATGGTATTTCTGCAGGGATACCAAGTTCAATTATTGAACGAATGCTTGATCTGACTGGCCACTGCTATCGCTATAGCATGTCGACTAGGTGTTACACGCATCCAGCTATGTGATCTTTGAGTCGACACTCACAAACAGTGACTATTCGTACTGCACAGTGCACTGCCTGTACTGTCGCGAACTCAGTGGCGAAAATGGTATTGGTATTTCTTCAGGGGTTTCACGTTCGATTACGGAACGATTGCTTGATTGGACTGGTCACTGCTGCGGCTTATAGTCTATCGACTAGGTGTCACACGCATTCGGCTGACTGATCTTTCGACTGTGCATTGATATTTCGAGGGGAAGCATTGACGACAATTGTGAATAAATTACTTCGAACCAGACATATTGTTCTTCAACGAAATAATACGATTTTTTGAAGATTCAACCCGACTGAAGTAAAACAAAGTTAAGCGAAATAGTGAACTTATAAGGAGCATTATGTGGTTGAACATAGTGTGCTACGAGAAGAGAATCTCGACATGCAAACAACGATATCACCCTTGGATATTGTTTATTTTACTCCTCACTTGAAGACAGAGGAAGCTTGACGGCCACATTCCGTTGAAATAAGTCTTCGGATTTTTATGAGGGTTTCAGGCGATTAATCAGAATTTTTAGACGTGCGAATAGTGAAGAGGGTCAGTTTGTTAAAGAAAGAGAATATGAAAATGATGAAAAACAAAGAGAGGCACTCAGAGTTGATATTACTGAATGAGCGTGACAGATAAAGAGAAAAGTCTCGATGCCGTCTATCTCTCATATGATGTCGATTATTTCTGTGTCCAACAACAGAAACCTTACGTATTTATGTCCTCCCTTTCCCTCTCTCCGAAATTTTCGGTTGTTGGAACGATATTATTCCCTCGGATTGCCAATACTCATCTCCACAAGTTTCTTCTAAAGTCACTTTTACCAGTGATAAATTCGTTTGCATAATTGCTTTCCTAGTTTCGCGATTAATCGCATATGAATAAGTGATAACGGTTGAAAAACATATTTGATTAATTCTCTGTTGTGTTCCAGTTTTCTTTAATTGCATCACTCGTTTGTCGAGTCCTACTCTTTGATCAATCCTATCGAATGTATCGTATCCTCTGCATACATCAAACGCGCCTTCATAACAGTCCCGCTTCCGCGAACAATAATCCACGTTTTTCTGTCATCAATCAACGTTGACGTTTCTAGTCTACAAAACCGTAATTGAGAAATCTCGAAAGGTGATCGATAATTCCTGTTTTTTGTGACGAGTGCTTGCAAAACCCCGTCTGTTTTTCGATCTCGAGATTGGAAAATAATCACATGCGGTGAACTTAGAAACGGTGGCGACGAAAAACGAGCAAGAGTGATGACGTTACAAAATATTTGTTCATTGCTTTATGAAACAAGAAATCTGAGATGCCGCCACTGTGTAATGATTTCTTCCCTCTGATATCGGCGGTTGACTGCCAGTATTGCTGCATGTGAATGATATGTAATTCAAGATGAGTATATCACCAAAATCATGTAAANAAATACCATCTTCTGTCAAATCCCGAAATCCTGGGATTTTTCAGAACATAAACTCCACACTCGGAGCCGAGATAGAAAAGTCGAGATCCCGTGCAAAGGCTGCTTGTAACATGCATTCCTTAGTATTCATCAGAATGACCAGAACTATTTTATGCTCACAATCAACGTAGTTAGCGAATTCATTTTTGTTCGAATCGAAATGACTCTCTTTTTCTTCACTCATAACTACTATCAGCCTATATTTTAGTTTTCAAAAATTGTGAAGCTGAGAAGTTTACCAATGAACTTTGTTAATTGAAATGAGGACAGCTCCATCACGATTTTCCTTCATTGTTAATATCGCTTTGCACAGTGCTTTTGGGAGCTCACGAATCTACTTCTTAAGATGTGTGATTTTAAATGTGGATATCGCAGCCAGCAATTATGTCAGCTTTCGCTAAATGTTGATGATGTTTTCATGACCTAAATGCTGTCGTCAACCATCATTGCCGTCTGCGAATCACCAATTCTTCTCAAAGTTCTTCCTTTTTTCACATATCCCATATGCTTGCAAACATGTCAGTTTAGCTGGAAAAAAATTCGTTCGCCATATTTCGCTTCTGTCGTCAAATTAGCAAGAATAATCCACTTATGCCTACTACGCCTTACACCCGGACCAGTTGTTAGCATGAATCAAATCTAGCAGAATTTTACGTCATAAATTTTTAGTCACGACTTCTGAATAGTTGAAAAAATGATAAATCATTACAGAATGATCAGATGACCTGAGCAAAGTCCATAAACGTTCCATGAACTAAACGCTTTTTGGTCGTTGTTTATGAAAGTTTTATAAGCACCACCTCCCGTCCTCAATGAGCTCCTAAAAAAGCAAAATCCCTTTATCTATCATCAATACTACGTACGAATATATTCATGTATATCCATATGGATAACGTTTTTATCCAGAAACACACGATTGTTCC